GCAGAGGCGGCCGCTGCCTCGGTCCGAAGGAGTTGGGAGAGGGGCGCTTCGGACATCGCGTCTCAGTTTCCCCGCACGCAAGCAGCTCCGGGTGGAGCCTTCGCCAAACGAAAGGCGGCTGCTGGCCTGGGGACCTGCTCACCTAAAAGGGGGCAAAGTGGGGAAAGAGCAGAGCAACAGCTCCCCAGACTGGGAAACACATCTAGAGTGCTGCCTCGCCCCCAAAATCCCTGCATGAAATCGTGATTTCATATTCGGCCATTTCTGTGCACCAGGAAAGTTATTAAAGGCAGAACAAGCTGGCTTAGTCCCCAGCCTTTCCCCATGCCCCATTTTTGCGGTACAGCACAGTCCTCACTGAATGTGGCTGGGCTCGGCTGGGGAGTAGCACAGTGCACAGCCCTTGCCTCGGCCATGAGCAAGGTGAGAGGTGAATCCTGGCTCCATGCTAAACAGCGACTAAATCCCCATCGAAATCCAGGAGCTGAGCTTTCACAGGGTGACACTGGCACTGCCAACTCCAGCAGAAAAGACCTGAGCAAGGGCACAGAGCAGTCAAATGCCTGCACTAGGGATTCAGTCTTATTTTCCAAAGACTCCAGTCATTTCTCTGGCTCAGGGACCTCTTTGCCTGACCATCACGGGTCACTTTGCTTGTGGCAGAGCACGCACTGTCCACGCTGCCTTGGATGGTGCTCAAGGTAAGATGAAACCCCGATGTATTTATAGCCCCTATCATGTGTTGAAAGCAAATGTCGCTGCTGCCTGCAGAAGACATCAGCACCCAACCAGTGCCTAAGTGGGTGCCTTACCTTGAGAGGGGAGAAGGGTCATCCAAAGCATTGCTGCTGCCAGCGGGAGAGATGTGGCTGTCAGTGCTGCTGGGGCAAAGCTCTGCCTGCAAAGAGGGGCTCTGGTAAAAACTGTGCCTGTCCTGGGGTCCATGGAGAGCGAGCAGACCTCACCCCAAAATCCATCTCGCCATCACAAGCTGGTGTGTGCTTTCCCACATGTGTCTGTGCATCAGCCGCTCGTGACAACCATGTTCCTGCACCGCTTCTCCAAAGCCAATGAGAGGCACAACCGCTTGTGTGGCTCGGCTACATCTGGAGCCCAGAAGACACCAGCAAGAGCAATAAACCTCAGATTTCAGGACAAAAGCTGATTCCCAGCTGGGGAGGGGAGGAGTGTCACGAAAAAGAAGTCTCCGTTATGTTCCTTTCCTATTTTTAGCCCGATTTCCTAAGGAAATGAGATGTCTGCAATCAAGTCCTCTGTCTTCTTCAGCACTATTTTCTGAGCACATCACCCAATTTCAGCCAAATCTGTCAGCGAGGGAGAAGCTGCAGAGAACATTTGTTGCCTGCAAGTTTAGTGACAAAAAAAATCGGCCCATTTTCATGGAAAATCAACCTTTGCACTTCGGAAGGCAGGAGCTGCCCGGAAGGCTCAGAATCCAGAATGACTCTTGCCACTGCTCCCAGGGGCTGATTCCTCTCGGGCGCGAGTCCCTGGCAGCAGGATTTTTGGCTGAGAAACTGAAAATTGGTCATCTTGCCACCAGAAGCCATCATGACTATGGTGTAAGGGAGCAGGGCTACGTAGCACAGCTCCTGTGCCCTGGGTAAAGTCCATAGATATTTTGTTTCTAGTTGCACATATTCCTTTGCCCATCCGGGTCCCCTCTTCAGGCAGTTTTGATCAGCTGTGGCACAGTTCAGCATTTCAAAGACATTACATAGCCCACAGAGGTTTCACAGAGGTGGACTTGAAGGCAGGGAAGGCTCAGCCTTGCCCTACACAGAAGAAACCACGCAGGAGATTCACAGTAGATGCCCTCAGCATGGAGAAGGTGTCTTTCAGCCAAGTCCAACAAGCTCAAGACACAGAGCCCTGGGCAACAACCGATCTTCTGAGCTTTGACCCTCACCAACCACCTTCTCTAAACCTCTGAAGGCTCTTGCTGGAGAAGAAACCACACAGGAGATACACAGTAGATGCCCTCAGCATGGAGAAGGCGTCTTTCAGCCAAGTCCATCAAGCTCAAGACAGAGCCCTGGGCCACAACCGATCTTCTGAGCTTTGACCCTCACCAACCACCTTCTCTAAACCTCTGAAGGCTCTTGCTGGAGAACACAACGGCATGCGTGGACACGTGCACACACATCCAAGGGCAGCTCTCACCAGACAAGTGAAACCCAGTGTGCTGTTCTTGCAGCAGAGCCCACGGAGGAGACGTGGGAGAGGTGGTATTTCCATTAAGATGATCTCCTATACTTCTTTAGCCTTCAAGACAGAATACAAGCATTTGGCAGAGTCCACCCAAAACTCTTTTTGGTGGTGTTTAAATCCAGCCAAGTGTAGAGCGATAATACATTTAGATAGCCCCCAGCAGAACTTAGAAGGACAAACATCTCTGCCCAGCTTGGACCCACCTTCCTTCTCTCCCTCCAAAACACTGACTCGTTGCACTTATCTCAAAACCAGAGATAGGAGCAGACTGACCTAGACCAGAACTTGTGTGAATTTGTTTCCTTTTCACCCTTGATTTAAGCCAACAAACCTAAGAGTGCTGCAATTCAGTGTCGTGCTCACCTCCAGGATCACTGAATAACCACGTTCTGCTGCAGAGCCTCCTGCCAAGATGCTGAAAGCACCGCTCAGAGAGAAAACAACTCTACAACAGCTCTACACCCTTCAAAGCCATCTCCCAAGACCAGGCTGGACTGGACTGCTGTGACCCTCCAATCCAACACCAACTGCTTCAGAGACTGTTGAAAAATATATCCTTGATTTCTTTAGGAAAAGGTTGGCTTGGGCCCTGGAGCTGGTGGGTTTATGTCCCTGACAGCACATCCGGGGGCTACCTAGAGAAATTCCTACTCGCCTCACGCACAGATCTCTTTGGCACATGTGCATTCAGCACCGGTGCCTATGCGGTCCCACGTTTGCTGGGGACCTTTCAGCTGGATGACGATGGGAACATGACTTTATCACCTGCAATCGCTGAGTAAGCCACCTCCAAAGCACCTGCAGCGGAGCCAGGTGAAAGGAAGTGGAGTAGGTATTGTTTTCTGTTGAAATATTTGTGGCCAGGCTATTTCATACCTGCCGCTTTTTAAAGATGCGGAGTCTGCACTGGGAAAGAGGCCAAAGGCAGCCGTGAATCGTGTCACTGCAAACCAAAATCCAGCCGAAATAAAAAGTTGTCCTAAAGCAGACAAAGAACCAAATCACCTCAGGCTGTAGCCTCGGATCAGGGGAGTCCCACACCGTGGTCCAAACTAAATCCCTATCGAATCATCAGTTATTTTGAGAGCTCCCCAGAAAACTGAGCTTTGCTGCTCCTGAAAGAAAGGGAAGTGTTGTGTTTGGTTTTATTTAGAAAAGCAAGGTAAAATAAGAGCTAGTCCCTTTTATCTCCGTGAGATGATCTGAAGGTGCAGGTTGCTAGAGGATCTATTCGGTAATCGACTCAATTTCAAGCTGACTTTGGAGCCTGCACCCCATTTTAGAAAATGACCACAGTATTTCAAAGCTTTGGTTCCCCCAACACTTAGCTCATCTCTCGAGCATCCACTCAAAGGGCTCAAACCCCACATGTCACCTCACATATGACATTTAATTGTCACTCGTTAATGACCATGCAAACTTTGTTCCATGAGACAACGCTGCACATGGGAAGCTCCGCTGCCAGCACGCCTCTGGAGAGTTAACGTTGGATGGGGCCGTCAGGGAACGCTCTCCAAGAATATAACTGAAGCCACACCGCCCTGTCAATAAACATATTTTTGGTTGCTATAGCAAAGCCAGCATGCAATTAAAAAGTGCTCTTGGACGTCAGGGCCCTCTCCTTTCTCAGCAGTTCTGCACACTCCCTCCATCCTCACCAAAATCAAACCCTGACTTTGCTGCAGCTGCACGAAAGCTGCATTAGCAGCCGGGCAGGGAGGTGGCAGGAGCGAGGACATGGATCCCAATCACTTCTCCCGTGTGCTATAAATAGGGAGAGAGAAAATAGATGAAAGGCACCCAGCCCCAGCGCTTGCTCACGCCCAGGCTTGCTGGCCGCTGACTTCTCCATACCAGCCTGGCCTCGGCAGTGAAGCGCTCCCTTTCTCTTCTTAATGAAAGGGCTAATTTTTTGGTCACGAGAGGCAAGAAAGCCTCTAATGCAAGAGAAATCAAACCAGCACAGTTTCCTGGTGTTCTTTTCTGCCCGTTGCTGATTTCTAACCACTAAAGCGTATTTCGATGCACAGTCAAAACGTAGCCAGACCGTGCTGAGAAAATAAATCTGGCTCCACGTAAGGGTTCAAAGACACCTTCGCAAAGCTGACAAGGTTAAAAAAAACCCACCACCAAAGAGGCACATTAACAGCATTTCCCTTCCACCCTGCAGGCCCGAACGACACATCCTAAGAACTTGTCAGCTACTTTGCCACTTGAACCGGATCAATGCCCGGAGCTCATGGCACGGTGGAGCACATGAACGTTAAGCAGACCCAAATATCACAACCGAGTTGCTAAGTCCCTTTGCTGGCCCTTGGGTCCCAAAGAGGGACTCTGGTGCACTTTGTTCTTCCGCAGAAGCCGGCCGTGGGGAAGGAAGGAGGCCGAGGCTCACCACGTCTGTCACGCTTCATTAGGCTGCACGAATAACGGATCCTCGCAACGGGAAGCCTTCCTGCTGCGAGAAATGGCTTTGCTTGGGAAGTTTATTTTAGAACACAGAGCAACTTGCCAAGGGAAGGAAGAGGAACCCCATCATGTAGGCAAT